TTTACATCGCTCCCTCATATCAAATATACTGAAGAAGATCTTCGAAGAACAGATTGCAAAAATGTTTTATCCAAGAATTGAAGGAAATTGTTTAGTGAACGGAATAATTTATACATTGAACTTTTATGTAGTGGATTGAATAACTGTACACAGAAGCTGAAACAGAGGAAAATTAAAATTTACAAGAAAAGTGTTTATTTTATTATTTAATTTGCAAATATGAACGCATTCTTCAGAACACCACAAATGGTATGACATTCAAATTGGTTGCGTATTAATGTATACAATTGAAACAATAACAAAGAAAACAGAATACTTTGCTACAAAAAATATTTTATAAATCAAAGTTAAAGTCATATAAAGTATGTACAATACCTTGACCTAAACAGTCATACTCACTGTATTGTTTTTGTATGTCATGGTAATTTTGAGTCAAAAATTTATTAAAGTTTAAAATATCATTTGTATCATTTATTAAGTCTTGTAAAAATTATGTTCATACTGTTTGTATAGTGAAGAAATTTACAATGAGTAAAAATAGGGGAAAACATTTCCTACAGGGAAAGTTGATGTACAGAAATTTCCTTAGAGGAAATTTGGAGAAAAATGTTTTCCTTGGAGGAAATTTGTGGCATTGAATTTTCCCTGAAGGAAAAGTGTTTGTTAAAAATTTCCTGAAAGGAAATTGCAGTTGACAAAATTTCCTCACAGGAAAAAGTATTTCCTCAAAGGAAAATTTGAAGCTGCAAATTTCCTCAGGGGAAAAAGTATTTCCTCACAGGAAAATTTGAAGCCGCAAATTTCCTCACAGGAAATAGAGTTTCCTCAAAGGAAAATTTGAAGCCACAAATTTCCTCAGAGGAAATAGAATTTCCTCAAAGGAAATATTAATGCAGCAAATTCCCTAAGGGAAATCTTTTTCCCTTGAGGAAAATACAATTTCCCTTGAGGAAAAATCTTTTTCCTTTAGGGAAATTTGATTTCCCTTGAGGAAAACTACTTTTCCTCTGAGGAAATTGTTGAAAAAAGGGGCATAACTTTTTCAACAGTGGTGCTAGAGCCAAAATTTTTTAGGACAAATATCAGGGAACCAATACCAACCAAGTTATCAACTTCATTTTGACTTAACTCCAAAAATTAAGGTGACAACTTTTGCACTCAGCGGAAGTGCAAACTTGTCCCGGAGACTGTTTATGGTTCAGACTAGGTCAAGCATGGTTCAGACTAGGTCGAGCATGGTTCAGACACGTATAAAATGGTTAAGTACTGGTCGAGTAAGGGTCGAGTACAAGTTCAGACTGTTAAGTACGGTTCAGACTACAGTCGAGTATTATCAAGTAAATTTCAAACCAATTCAGACTGGTCGAGTAAAAATCAGTACAGTCGAGTACAGATATAGGCCATTTCAGACTTTTACTGGTTTGTAGTGTACGTCTAAACAAGTGACAACTCTACGACAGATCCATTTATTGGATCTCCAGTGAAGGTGATACACGGCTGAAAACACATATTCAGTCTAAGTGGCCGAGTGGTATAGAGCCCTGGACACAGCGCAGGCGGCGTTGTCTCGATTTCCCAATAGCACGAGTTCGAATCCCGGCGAGGAAAGAACAAAAATTTGCGTGTGCATGTAAAACAAATTTCTTGGTAGAGGAGTCTAAATACACTCAGCACAAACAACATTTTCCAAAAGACCAAAAAGTGAAAAGTATATTTTAACAAAACGCATTTGACTAACAGGTCGAACAACTGATGTTCTTAAACCATGCTGACTGCCATTGTCGATTGCCAAATAAATTGATCACCAGATGTAACATGGATCTTAATTATTCAAACAGAAAACAATAAACTTGCGGAAAAGATGGTATATCGCAAACATAAGGTGCAAAAATTTGTACACCATATCCGGATTTCGACAATTAATGTCTCTTCAGTGATGTTAGGGATCGAAACGGTATTTGGAAGGCCATATAATTTACCTCAATTTAGAATAGACTCTTGAATTTTAAAGAGTCGAAATAGGATGAACGGATCATATAAACCCGAAGGAAAATATAATACAAGCCCAAACGATAAAATATAAACAAGTCTAAATTGAAAACAACGTTCAAACCTATGATTGCGTTGGATAAAAACCACAATTTTTATACGTGTGCATGTAAAACAAATTTCTTGGTAGAGGGGTCTAAATACAGCACAAACAACATTTTCCAAAAGACCGAAAAGTGAAAAGTATATTTTAACAAAATGCATTTGACTAACAGGTCGAACAACTGATGTTCTTAAACCCTGCTGACTGCCATTGGCGATTGCCAAATAAATTGATCACCAGATGTAACATGGATCTTAATTATTCAAACAGAAAACAATAAACTTGCGGAAAAGATGGTATATCGCAAACATAAGGTGCAAAAATTTGTACACCATATCCGGATTTCGACAATTAATGTCTCTTCAGTGATGTTAGGGATCGAAACGGTATTTGGAAGGCCATATAATTTACCTCAATTTAGGATAGACTCTTGAATTTTAAAGAGTCGAAATAGGATGAACGGATCATATAAACCCGAAGGAAAATATAATACAAGCCCAAACGATAAAATATAAACAAGTCTAAATTGAAAACAACGTTCAAACCTATGATTGTGTTGGATAAAAACCGCAATTTTTATACGTGTGCATATATATATAGGCAATCATACGGTCTTTAACAATGAGAAAAATACCCATACCTATATAGTCGGCTATAAAAGGCTCCGACATGAAATATATGAAAAAAAATCAATTTTGAAAACTAACGGCCTAGTTTATAACAAAACAATTTACGAAAAACAAATATGACAGACATGCTACAACGACAACCACTGAACTACAGGGTCCTTGCTTGTGACATGCACCTGTTCGGTTATCTGCACTTTCACAAAAAATAATTATTCTGCTATAATTGCTTGAAAATAATAAAGTCAATGGCTTAAATTCTGAAACAGCAGTTCAGATATGCAAACTTTGGGGTGTATAATTATGGTTAGACTGTTCCGCCAGTTAACGCCTGCTAAAGATGGGCGTTCATTTGAATATGCGGATGTATAAAAACGTGGCCTCGTACAGTGAGAATAAGGGTTAATTCGATGTCACGTATAGGTAGAGTGCAACACACTATGCACGGGAAAGAACCCTTTTCACAAAAGTACACGATGGGTTAGTCCAGCTATTTCTGGTCGGTTCATTTTGAACAAGCTATCCATTACATTTGTAGATTAATTGTCATTTATTTTTAATTTACTCTCGTTCTTAATATGCATGGTATATTTGCAACTGAACGTTCACCTTGACTTAACAACACTCTATTAGATGAATTAAAAATGTATATTGTCAAAACTTTTTATATGATATGTTATTCCTTTCAGATAAACATGATAAATGTCAAAAACTTCCAACACATCTATGAATTTAAAAATAAACGATAAAAGAAATATTAATCGCATGTTTGATACTTTTGAACAACATTACTGCTGATAAAATTAACACAATGAACCAAGATACTCCAACGGTTCATTGTAGATCAAGTTTGTCAGCCACAACAACTTGAAACGAGATATATTTGGATACTTTTATGGCTTGTTTGTTTCAACATGCTGTATTTGTTTCACCTTTCATCTGATATAAAATATATTTTAGGACTAATCAATTGAAATAAAACTACTTAAATTGAAAACTGGAAATCATAGATCGGCAATATGTTACAGAATTAAACATTTAAAACCAAAACACGTGGCGCTAAAGATTGCTCAATGTCATAACAGGTTAGATTCTTATTCACTTTTGAAATTGAATGTAAGATAGAACAAAACAAACAATATCTTTCATAATGATTATTCTCTGGTTCTTTCTTTAAATGCGAAATGTGTTTTAATGATGTAACTAAAAGTTTTGCCTTACTTTGGAAAATGTCATTACGCATATTTAAATGATCCGTAACAGGAACAAGAAAGGAATGTTTACAAACTTATAAGAAAATATTCATTTTCATATGTTTACACATCACTCGAGAAAGATATCCTGGATTACTTAAAGAAATTGACACAGTTGTTTTAATATTCATTTTGTCACGAAGATTTATTGTATTTTAACCCGTCTGTGTAGTAATACTTAATACAATGAATTACTTGTAATTGAATACCAGTCAGTCTTTTGTAACGAATCTGAAATCCGCATTAAGAAGGGCAGCATTTTTACAGTGGTGTAAAAATGCTGTCCTTTGGTATCTTCTCTTTAAACCTAACTTAGAGTATGGTTTTTTTCAAATGTTGAAGACTGTTCGGTGAAAAATTTTAAACCTTTTTCTTCTTTGATACAGTATGTAGAGTTGTGGTTTGCTTTTCTGTGTAAATCGGAAGATATAAATATCAGAAGGTTCATTTGAAAAAACATTCCAGCAGCGCCTGCATATGGAGTATATATCTCCCAGTTGATACGATATTAAAAACCTAGAGTTACAAGTGGTGAAGTTGGAATCACCCCTTCGAAATTTTACGGACGCCATCACGGGTTGGTTGACCGTTATGGAATATCTGATTCACAGATGACGACGAATATGTTCCAGTCGTCGTAACCACAATCCCGTCCTCTGTTTGCCCGAATGTGGCCTACCGAAATAGACTTGTAACTGGGTTTGTACTTACATGAGCAACATGACGGGTTTTCTATGTTTTGTTTTGTATACTGTTGTTTGTCATTTGGATTGACGTTGCTAGTTTATTTTCGACTAATGAGTTTGAGGGGAATGTCTCTTAAGTATCTTTCGATTCTCTTTGTAAGAATATAGACAATTTGAATAATGTTTAATTGGTTTATACTCGAAATGAAATAGAACTGTGCTATTTCGACGAGCCCAATTTGATCTTCAATCCTAGAGTTGAAAACTGATTGCATTATTTTAAAAATTATCTTGTAACTAAACATTAAACAATAAACTTGGCAGCATTTTGACAATAACTTACCAGCTCTTGTTAACAGAAATTTATCAATTCCATAAATGTACAAGAATAACACAAAAACTGTCCAAACTTGCTTCATTCTTCAACAGTGCATTTTTTTCCTCAAGGAAGTATTTACCGATACTTCTATTTATGAATCTGTTCGTCACATGTAAATTATACACCTTTGTATTTTACAGTTCATAAAGTATTCTTTAGTTATTCAGTCACATTTTGTTTAAATACCTGTAAAGTTTAAAATAGAACTTCCTCTTACACAATTTGAAAAAGAAGACAACTTTATTACCTGTATACATGTATACAATACTCTACAATATATTTTATGGATTGAGGATAATTAACGATGTCCATATTTTTCAATAACAAAAAATAGATGGTAGATTTACTCCTTGAAATAGCAATAGTTAATTATAATAATAAAACATTTCCTTCGATTATATAGTTGTTTTAATTGGCGTCACATACGGTTGCTTAATATGTCTTCTGATTAAATGTATTCGCTGGTGATTTTGTCCTACTCGGTAATAAAACTATACTCGAGTCAGTCCTCGGAAATTCAATACAACATTAATTGTGCTTGAAGCACCATATCCAGTATTTTGATTGGTTGATTTCCGAGTCCCGAGTACGATGATCGTGATCAAAAATATTATGACCGCAATGCCTGATCTCCTGCTTCTATGCTGGTGGATTTGTCTATATTAATCTATATTAGAACCATAATGAATAAACAGTCGTGTTGACTACTTTTTCTCCAATAACTTATAAGTACTTCTTGAAGTATAACATTTCAACAAATTTGAATTGCACAAATCGTCCGGAAATTGTCCGCCTAATTTGATCAAATTTTCTATTTCTGTGCTGTTACAATTTTTATTTAGAGTATAATGTGGCAAATGTTCAAGGCTGTTTACCCAGTAAATGTGTAAATGATAGAAAAGACTAACAACAAGTCATCTAAGCAGATTAAAGTTGAGAAAAAGTTTAACAATTTGGTCAACAGACAGACAAGAATAAAAGTATATACTGTAAGATGTATGACATATTTGAGTTAAAAAAAAACATTACAACAAAGATACATATACCTAACAATGTATTAATAAATGTTTGCCGATTGTTATAGGGAACAACTCTTTTATAAATTGCAGGGGGAGGGGCTGTAGATTTGTTTGTTTGCGTATTGACTATTCATATTCATCTGTTATTACGCATGCTAATTTTATTACGCGGGATAACTTCAAGGATATCCATTTTCAAAATCCTCTTGCACAAAGTCACGAAACCAACTATCGAAATAGTTGAATAAAGTGTAAACAAAAAGATAATAAAAGGAAAATGTTGACAATTAATCTGACTTATAATGTAATTATCCAAATCGAAAAGATAATTGTCAATATAGACTTACATTTGTAGTTTAAAGGCTTTTCGTCCAGTCACAGCTGAATTATGCCAGAGAAGCAAAGTTAATATAAAATTTAGTAGTTGCAAACTATCCACCAATGTTAAAATGAAATGGATGTAAGCAATAAGAGACAACCGTACGGCCTTCAACAATGAGAACACTTATACCGTGTAGTCGGCTATAAAAGGCCCCGACATGAACTATATGAAACAATTAAATTTAGAAAAATAACGGCCTAATTTATAACAATACAATTCACGAAAAACAAATATTTCGGACATGAATCAATGACAAACACTGAACTACAGGCTCCTGAATTGGGACAGGAAGATAAAAAATTGGTCGAGGTTAAACAAAGTCATGTTTGTCAGCGCTCAACCCTTCCCCAAAGCTGGGAAAGTGGTGTTACAGGACAATATATGAACAAAATATAAAAATCACTTGAAAAAGGCTCAACTCATCAGATCGATACAAAGCAGAAAACATCTAACAAAAACACAGACCGGACGTTGCAGGGTATTTGTACATCCCTAACAACAACAAAATCACAAAATACAGATCTGAGAGTACTCCCAGTTACTGACAGCTAGTTCAAAGCCAATAACAACTAAAAAAAAAATCATGTATCTAAGACTAAAATATCAATCAGTACACATCCAACATCCAATGGATTTAGTGTAAAGACGTCATTAACAGTCAGAGAAAAAAACGACATTTATGCAATGCTTTAATATAGGTATCAACATAGTGTAGTACCGTAAAGTGCATATGTGTATAACAATAAATTATTATAATATTAAGTTTGGTCTTAATTTACTGATAACAAAATCAATATCTATACCAATAAAACAATATTCAAAGATCTAATTACAGTGTTGAATTGGTAACCTTTTAGAATAAGTTCATTGAAAGGATTGATAAGTTTACCCTGATCGTATATAAATTTCCGGGCTCTGTAAACAACATCACGGTAACATTTATGATGTAATATTCCGTTTGAGTAAATTTCGGTAGTATATTTAGAGAGTTCTTGATTATTTAACGAAAAACTATCATCAAGATAACGGTAAGTGTTGTTGAATTTATCAATTACATGGAATTTTAACAGTACAGGAACAAGTCTGCTATTAAAGGGATACGATTGGTGCCCGTAGGAATACCTACAACCTATCGATAAATTTTATTGCCGAAACGTACATAAATGTTGTCAAGGAGAAAATTTACGGCTTTAATCATCTCATCGCATCTCCAGTAAGTATATAATTTATCTGATAAATTCATGGAAAGGAACCAGACACAGAAAGTTTAGGGAAATGAAAATTGAGTGTCACTGTGAGTAATTCACACACATGCCAGACATAAAGGATAAAAGGCCAGACACAGGCTCAGCTTTAGTATTTATATCAACTGGAAGGAACAGCATTTTCATAAAAAAAACTTTAAAAATAATGATGAGCTTTTAAACAAATTTTGTACTGCTGTTGTTATGTTATATAAGTTTGAAGTACTTTTACCGATCTTTTAAGTCTAAAGTTATCAAAGAATATGAATGCCAAAAAAAAATATGAAAATCCAACTAGTTTTTACAGTGATTAAACTGAGAAATAACTACATTATTTATTGTACACGTTGTATAATTGTATGCATTTGCTTGCACCACAGTTCCCATTTTGTGATTGGATTAGTTATGTGTTTCTTAGGTTTTGTGAAATATACATTTGGCCACCAAATAAATATGTCAAGAAATGCCAATTTGCTAACAATGTCTATGATGTCTACACAAAAGCAAAAATATAAAAGCCTTTTTCATTTAAGTACTGTAACATTCGTATACAGATTTAAAACCAACAGACATTCTGAAAATCTTCGGTAGAAGTCGAACATAGTCCAAGACATTCCATATTTTCAAATCCTTATGAAGACATATTTGACCAATCTGGTTTCCAGGAAATGTTACAAAGTTTAGTTCTACATGTCATTATGATCATCAGCGATCAAGGCGATATATGCTTTAATATCTAAAGTAATGTTGAGGAGTATGAAGTGAAGTTGATCCTTCCACTATAATAGCATTCTGCACATTTTGGATCACAAATGAATCAAGCCGTTGTACTTTTGAACAAAAATATTGTTGCTTATCAAGTACATGTTGACAGTGCTACAAGTTCATTAATTAAAATACAATGCAGTTCAGATTAGTTAGTAATAGATTTCCTCTGTCTTGATTTGGACGGATAAACCAGATGTATGGAAAACTATTTTTTTTTCAGAAACCACTGATTTGTGAAAGATAAGGTGCATGAACCTTAATCAATAAAGTGTCAATTTATTTTGGTCATATTTGTATTGTATGTTCTGCAACTGAAGACTTCATTCACATTTTTTTTTAGAAAGGCAACGCACATTGTTAGCTCACCTAGCCCTATGGGCCAAGTGAGCTATTGCCATCAGTTGTAATCATCTTGTAGTTGTGGTTGTACTATTAACTTGTAAACCTTTACAACAATCTCCACTGGTCCAGTTTCAACCAAACTTAAACATGTTAAACTGATTAATCATAAGGGGTGTCGAGAAGAAAGTTCTTTGATTATGCCAATGAACCAACATTTGGCCAGATAAATCAAGCAGATAAATCATACACTTATATCTCCCTTTTTTATTTTCCTCAGGATACATGTATGCACCTTTTATTTACTGACTATCACCATGAAGCGCATATGGAAGCTTAATTCCTCCAAAGTCTCCAGTTTTGTCCAGTCTGCGACAAAAGTCACAGAATACAAGACATGTATGCGAATCGGGCGACAGCTTTAACTATTTATATAAAGTTTTACATTTCAGAGAGTAGAAATGCTGGATGTTTCATACTTTGTATAATAAAAAACTTATATTAAGAAGTTTCTGTCAAGTCATATGTGCATTGTCCTTGTCCTCATTTCATGGTTCAGTGACTTCTTAAAAAACTACATGTATAGTGCATTTATCATGTGAATTTCTCACATATTCTGAGTAATAGAATAACTCTATTTGGTATATGGGATCCATGGTTTACATGCCTGTCAGACAGTGTTCAACTTGTCTCCGAATTGTTTTACCTATGAGTCCCATACACATGTACCTAAATATAACATTAACTAGGTATATACTATAGTGGGGTTTTTTTTCAGACAAGTGCCTGTGTTCATGTGACCTCGACCTCACTTCGTGTATCAGTGATCAAGGTTAATTTTTTGTGATCAATTCCATTTCTCAGATACTATATAAAGCAGTAGGTCAAAATTTACATTGAACAATATGAGATATTATGCATTTACATTTATATATGTGTCAATAAGATAGCAACTGAATAGCAAAAAATAATTAAATAACATCTAGAATGAAACCTTTATCTAAGTCTTCAACAGAAGAAAAAGACAATTGTCTATACATGTACAATGTCAAAGCTCTTAAATAACCTTTGTCTATAAAAGTTGAATACATTTTTACAGAAATGTCCGTGGAAATCATACCATATCTATTGGTATATAGATCTGCCATTAGCACACAATTCTTCACTTAAAAAAAAACATTACGATATACCATACAACATGTACAACAACCTAAATATAACATTAACTATCATGTCTGTCATATGTCCATTGTACTTTATCTCATTTTTATGGGTTTTTTTTCTCATGTGAAATACTCACTTATAATGAGTAATAGCTATTTGAT